AGCCGAGCACATAAGAATGGACAAGTACACATATTGAGAAAAGGCCTAAGTGTTTTTCCGCCGCTTTGGATGTTATCATCCAATGAAATGTCCATTATTAGCTGTTATCAGTCCCATAAAAGGACTTCAGATTTTACCTAAAGGCTCAGTAGATCGTAATCACCGAATGAATCCTAACCCATACTGTAGTCTTAAAATATATTAAACACACGCTGGTGGGCAAAAAACTATAATGCAAAAAAATACTCATTTAGCATACAGAGCTTTTAGTGTTTTTGATTAAATCCAATGTGTTTGGCCTTTGCTAAAGGTCTCATTTTAGCACCTGTGCAACAGCACAGATTTTCTCTCACATTCAGATTGGAATCACAAACTATTCTAAAACGGCACCAGAGTTGAAGGCGTACGGTTAGCTGAAACACTAATGAAATAGACCTCTGGGATAAAGCCATTGGGTTGCAGAGACTACAGGACAATAAATTGGATAAAAATGACAAAGTAGTGAGAATATCTGACAGTTTGTCTTGGCTTTTTTACCTTTGAACCAGAACAGCTAAAACTTACACTGACAAAATCAACCAACAAAAGCAAAGGATGAATCATCAACTTGTTTGCATTGTTTCTTAATAACATAAAAAGGACATAACCCAGAGGATTGCAAATGTCTAAAATTATCTATCAACAGACAATGCAAGATGTATACTGCATTTAATTTTGTTGTAATTTAGCAAAACTTGCTCATCATACCAGCTACAGTATGTTTACTTTGGTATTGTTGATATTATGTGTTAAACTAATAGGAATTTGTTAGATATCCGTTACTTTCTCAAGTTCACATTTATGTGCCAAATCTTCTGAAATGCCTCCAACTCTGGGTGAAGTTAATATTTAACGTTGCATCAATCAGTTTTTCATGTCAGGTTATCCACAGTCTGGAAAAAAAGCAGCATTTAAAGGCAAGGGAATGACAACATATTTCAAATGTACAATATGGGGAATTTGTAATACGTTGCGTGGGCAGCGAAGTGTGTCCTGGTTGGTGACTGCGAAAAAAAAAAATAAGTGTCAAAAATCCTTTCACAATGTCATAAGGGAGAGAAAAAGAGAAACACGAGAATGAGGGAGAAAAGATAATACACAATGATTGGAGATGAGTAAGTCACAGCTTTTGAATATATGAATAATTTTCTGCTCATATCATGCCATAATGCCACCACTCGGTAGGCGACACCCTGATCCTATATGACAGTAACTGTCAAAGGATTCAGATTTATTTTTTTTTCTTCATTGAACTGTTTAGTAGATGCATTTAAATAATTATTTTCTTTAGACATAACCTGCAAGAATAAGCAGGTGTAGACCATAGATAGGTGGAAAAAAAAAAATCAACAAAGTATCTGGTTCACAATGCATGATTTTACAGTTGATGAGTGATTTTAAAAACCTAAGAGAGACCACACACATGATGATTAAAAACTGTAGATATAAAGGTTCTTTGGTCGCACCACAAATGTCAGACAAGAATTTTCAAAAAGATCTTTCCAGATCAAACACAAGTTCATTGTGACTAAACATGACCAACAAGCAGAAGTACTGGGGATACTTTGTGGACTAATTTTAACAAAGAAAAAGCTTAAAAAAAAGGTCAGATCAGGAAACAGCATGAATCCTATTGCTAAGGCAGTTAGCATAGGGACCCACAATCCTTTCACTGCTCAAAAAGTAAAAAAAATATATATATATATATTTCTTCACGATACTGTGTCACACATGCTAATGTATACACTGCAAAAACCATCTAGAAATAAGTACAAAATTTCTTAAAGTAAGTGCATTTACCCTTAATTTTAGTAGGTAAATAAGACGATTTGCTAATGGAATGAGTATTTCCATTCCTAAAATAAGACAATTAGATAACATTCACTTGAAATAAGACAAAGCAATAGTTTTTTTCTTATTTTAAATGTAAATCGTCTTGTTCCAATGGCATGGTGTCTCACTTATCTCCTCAATTCAAGACAAAATTCACTCAATTTAAGCAAAAATAACTCATACAGATTTCCATTTTTTGCAGTGTACACATTCATGTCTTGAGTTTATAAGGAAAAGCTTCAGTTGTTCACTGTATTTGTGTAAGTTGTGTTTTTGTAGTTATTTTGCAAAAACTGGAGTCCCAATTTAAAAAACTTCATTAATGTTTGTGTCTGCCACCTAAAGACGTCCATAAGGCTGTCTGGATTTAACAGAGCAGTCCATAATCTCCTCTTCTACCCTCTATAGCAGGCTTATTCCAAGATGGTCCTCGAGGGCTGAACTGCAATTATCAGAATCAGCTGTACTGAAGCTGAGTCCAATTTAAAACTTGTAAGGAAACGGCCATTGAGGACCGACTTTGGACATGCCTACTCTATTGTGTGCTCAGTGTAGACACATCTAAAGGTGAAGGATAAGAAGTAGAAACAAGGGGTAGTCGCTACAATTTGAGGTATTTGATTAATTTGAGCTCGGGGCATTCCTGACTTCATTTCAGGCAGAGTAGATTGCCTGCAACACACCACACAAAGCAGAATTATCTTCTAAGGGAATCTTAGGAACCATCCTGATAACTAAGAAATACTCATAGAGATAATTTGGGGCAAAACTTGGTACAATTTTCTTGTTGCATTAACATGGCATGAGGTCTGTGTGATCATATTGTTTTTTTTTTCCGTTTTCAATTTAGAACATTTAAATTTTACTTTGCAACATATTTAATCATTACAGCATGCTTTTGAGACATGGATTAACTTGGTTAGGTTAATTTTTCCCACATTTGATTTGTCCATATGGTCTTTGATTTCTATAAAGTGCTTTAAGATGACTTGTGCTGTGAATTGGCACTATATAAATAAACAGAATTGAATTGAATACACCCATTTCTTGATGTGGACTCTAGTTTTGAATAATTTTAATGCCAAACAAATGGCTAGACATGATGAGTCTTAAAAAATCTATTTTCCAGAACTATGCTCGCTGCGGCTGATCTGCTTGTCTTACTTTTTAACCACACAGCTTCCCTAAGGATTTGTTAAAGTTTTATTTAATGGCTGCACTCATCACAAAATCTTAATAATGAAAGCAAGTGGAATGCTCCAGTCGTCTCAACATGTGAAATTTTGTATTGGTTTTTTCTCATTGATGTACACTATATTGCCAAAAGTATTTGCTCACCCATCCAAATTATTGGAATCAGGTGTTCCAATCACTTCCATGGCCACAGGTGTATAAATTCAAGCACCTAGGCATGCAGACTGTTTTTACAAACATTTGTGAAAGAATGGGTCGCTCTCAGGAGCTCAGTGAATTCCAGCGTGGAACTGTGATAGGATGCCACCTGTGCAACAAATCCAGTCGTGAAATTTCCTCGCTCCTAAATATTCCACAGTCAACTGTCAGCTGTATTATAAGAAAATGGAAGTGTTTGGGAACGACAGCAACTCAGCCACGAAGTGGTAGGCCACGTAAACTGACGGAGCGGGGTCAGCGGATGCTGACGCGCATAGTGCGAAGAGGTCGCCAACTTTCTGCAGAGTCAATCACTACAGACCTCCAAACTTCATGTGGCCTTCAGATTAGCTCAAGAACAGTGCGCAGAGAGCTTCATGGAATGGGTTTCCATGGTCGAGCAGCTGCATCCAAGCCATACATCACCAAGTGCAATGCAAAGCGTCGGATGCGGTGGTGTAAAGCACGCCGCCACTGGACTCTAGAGCAGTGGAGACGCGTTCTCTGGAGTGACGAATCGCGCTTCTCCATCTGGCAATCTGATGGACGGGTCTGGGTTTGGCGGTTGCCAGGAGAACGGTACTTGTCTGACTGCATTGTGCCAAGTGTAAAGTTTGGTGGAGGGGGGATTATGGTGTGGGGTTGTTTTTCAGGAGCTGGGCTTGGCCCCTTAGTTCCAGTGAAAGGAACTCTGAATGCTTCAGCATACCAAGACATTTTGGACAATTCCATGCTCCCAACTTTGTGGGAACAGTTTGGAGCTGGCCCCTTCCTCTTCCAACATGACTGTGCACCAGTGCACAAAGCAAGGTCCATAAAGACATGGATGACAGAGTCTGGTGTGGATGAACTTGACTGGCCTGCACAGAGTCCTGACCTCAACCCGATAGAACACCTTTGGGATGAATTAGAGCGGAGACTGAGAGCCAGGCCTTCTCGTCCAACATCAGTGTGCGACCTCACAAATGCGCTTCTGGAAGAATGGTCAAAAATTCCCATAAACACACTCCTAAACCTTGTGGACAGCCTTCCCAGAAGAGTTGAAGCTGTTCTAGCTGCAAAGGGTGGACCGACGTCATATTGAACCCTATGGATTAGGAACGGGATGTCACTTAAGCTCATATGTGAGTCAAGGCAGGTGAGCAAATACTTTTGGCAATATAGTGTATCTATTTGAGGCTGGGAAATATGGTATTTTTTGTTTTGCTCATTTTTTTATGTTATTTTTTTGCCGCTGTGACAGAAACCAAAGTGAGGAAACCACATGCTGTTTCTGCCAGCCTGTCTTCAAGACACAGAAGATGTGCATTGTTAAGTTTGGCTAACTGTGTTTCATAAAGACCCCCCCTCACACTCAGTAACAGCACAAAAACGCCAAAATCTCCACAGGGACAATTGTTAAGTTACTTTTCCTTGTTTTTTTTCTAATCTTCAAACAGGAGGCTTTTAGTGTTGCAGAAAGTTTTAACTTTCAGCGATCCAGTGATAGCTTTATAAAGTCACTAGTGCTGTTCTTAGTCTATCTGTGTAACACAGCCTTAATTAGATAAAAACTATAATAAAGTTGGGCGAGAAAAATGACAAATCCAGTTCAAAATGAGACTGGATAGGGTTCTAGTTGCTTAATTGTTTTATAGTTGCACTAAGGATTTTGTAATATTTTAAAAGTTTAAACAGCTATTGACCTGTTTTTGTCTTTTCTTTTTCTTTTCATGTGTTTCCTTTGGATCCTGAAGCTGAAGAGTATGCTGTCGAAGGTAAGACTAATGCTCGTCTCCTCAGGCAGTCTGACGGAGTTCCCCACTGCTCTCACGGCTGCTTTTGCTGGTTGCTTTTTAATAATGTTTGTCGTCCCTCTGCAGGGGGGCATTGTCAGTTTGGACTGCGGTTTGAAGTGACGTCCAGGGGGCCTAAATCTACATTACAGAATTAGATAAAAGGGGTACATTAACAATCAAAATTGCCCCTATTTATCTAGCTTTTTTTTTATTATCTGGTTCTTTATTTTTTGCCTTTTTTGATCATTATTTTGTTTACGTAGACGTAGAACTCCAATTTTTAAATTGGACATATGTATTTTGTTTTTGTGCAGAAGTGACCAGGGCTGCTTGGCAACCCCAGTCAGCAAACCGGCCTGTAGTGTTTTTATCATGAAATAACAAGAAAACTTGTGATTTAGAGATCAACTCCTTTTACTTTTCTTCCTTTATTCTATAACCCTAAGAGGTGAACAAATGCTTTTAGTTGGGGCCCCTTAGGGATGTCATAAGCCCTTAGGCCAGGCGCTAAGCCTAAGCTGGATAGAAGAGAATTAATGGATGGATCACTTTTCCCTTGTATGTCTGCAGACACTTGCCTGTTTCACCTCTGTAGCTTGAGAGCCTTAACAATTTAAGTGAATGTGGGTGTGAGTTATTTAGGGTCTGAAATGGCGTCTAGCTGTACTCTGAAGTTTCAAGTTTCTCTGCTGGTCTATGAAGTTTAAGGATCAATTGTGTCGGTAAATCATTATTTATTCATCTGGTCAGGAAATCTATGAATATCTAAATCTGAGGGTTTAATCCGTGTCAGAAGTGTCGGATGTTTTTAGTGATTGGGACTGAGATCCTGATTGTGCATTCCGTTCTTGAAACCTGAAATTGAGAATTTGAGTTTCCACTTTTGGACCCTTTTCTCCATTTTTTGTATAATAGTACAGCCATTGTTATAAAGTTAACAATGACTAAAACATTGTTCTGAATGGTGTTCTGCCAAAATACTCAACTTTGAAACATATTGTCTTATTAAAACTTCTGTTAGATAAATATAAAAAATGCTATCAACTGTAGAGGAAGAGAAGTTTAACTATTGCTGCTCTGGATAGCTTAAATTGTGAACTGTAATTGCGGTTTCATCTGCAATGAACTACAGGGGGGAATATGTAGAAGCAGTTTTATTGTCTTATATCAGATCAGAATCAGAATATATCCTACAACATGGCCCTATACTTACTTAGCAACAAAACAGTACATGTTGAAGTTCAAGTATGAGCAATAATAAAGTCCCTAATGCCTTATTCGTACGCAATTAGATGATGTATGAGGAGGTTTGGTAAAACAGAGAACATCTGTATAAACATTCTTTGAGGGTCGGAGTGACTTTGACGCAGACCAGCCCACGTGATTTCCAGTAAGCTTTTGACATGATATTCCTGCGCATGTGCAGTTACATAATGCGATGTGGAAACTATAAATGTAGCTGAAGTTTGGGGGATAACAGAATTTTTGACGATGCGTTGCTGGATGTATGAAGTGTCTAAGACAGCTGTATGGATTTGGTTTTGTAATTAAATGTGTCCCTCCTCCGGATGATAAAATGGTGTGAATCGTGGCCTTCTTTCTGTCATAAGGGAATTCTACCAATGAGCTTCCATACGGTCAGTGCTATTACTTTTTAAATTTTTTTGACTTTGAAGTCTGACTTTTGATTGTTGAAATTTGCCATTCAGAGGTTTGATATTTTAACATCTTGAGACCAATGGAAGAGTAACAATGGCATCCAATCCTGAATGTTCTATATTGTGATGCTGCATGTTGTCTTTGTTTGCAGATGCAAGATGCATTACAAATCTTAAATTTTAAAAACACAAGATTTTCTTAAAATGTACAGGTCACATACTATAATATTTAACTCATTATGAAACTGTAATTAGGTTGGTTTGCATTGGGGCCTGTGCAATTTTATTTATTTATTTTTTACCAGGACTTTGATTAAAGATAAAAAGCTCATCAATAGATTCTGATTAAAGACTTATAAAACCTTAGAACCAGTTGTCAAAGAATAAAGCTTTATGATGACTTATTTCTTTGTTTTAGTTTATTCTTATCCACTTTCACAAAACTCAAAGCGTTTTCTGTAAAAGTAGAAGCGTTGATGACAGTTCCAATTATGTTGTTGAACACAAACACCTCAAAGGAGCGTTTTTAGATCTTGTCTTTCTAAGATGAGACTCGGGGGTATTTCTGCAACCATCTTTGCTCTATTTTTAGGGTTTAGTTCACACTGCATTTGGTTTAATTGGGTTTAGTGGCTGCACGTTCAAAGACTGGTGGAGACTGATTGCAGAGAGATGGTAAAAGCTCACAAATGGCAGATGACCCAGGAAAGTGGATGACAGCCTCCACTCTTTCACTTGTATAATCATACTTCATGCTGTGGTTGTTTTATGGAGCTGATTTTAGGACCCTCTGTTAAAGATACTCTATAAACGGGACAGCATTGGATATATCAACAGTTATTTTGTAAGCGCTGTTTTGTCATTGTGTGGTGTTTTGTTTTACTGTGTTACATTATTAAATTAGAAAATAGAACTAATTGCATAGATAATTTTAATTTGTAGTTTATTTGGCTTATGACAATTAGACAGGCATATTATATATTGAATTGAGAATGTTTGATAAGGAATAGCTATGCTTAAATTATTGTAAAAACAGTGGTAAACTGTTTTTGTTTTAGATTCACATACTGTACAATAGGGACCATTTATCAATGGTCAGCTCAACATGATCAGTAACATCTTTGTTAGGATGTAAAGTAGGGAAATGAGATGAATGTAGTTTAGATAGGTGCTAAAAAGGGTTGTGCAGCCAACCAACTTTATTGATTAATCAATTTATTTATTTGTGAGGATTACATTTTTTTCACTAATCCAGTACTTGGACTACCATACCTCAGGGTGATATTTCTTCATCTTTTGTCCGTAAATGTATTCTCATAACTGAGAAACTTAGTCTTTGTGTGATACCACTTGCTGCAAACCTTTATTGTTATATATTCATTGTTGTGAAACATAATAGTCTTTAGAGCTTGAATTTTGTTGCCCTTTAAATTAATCTCACATCCCTGAAATTATTGAACAAAGTTATTTTTTGGGGGAAAAAACATGTTATTTCTATTGTTTATAATGATTAATAAGCTTTATAAGAAATAAAACATAATAATAAGAAGGATCACATTTGGTAGGAACAAATTGGTGAGATTGGTGATTTTCCACTGCATTGGTGCAATGTTCATGACTATAACAATGCACATGAGGGAAAAAAATATTTTGGGCATAGGGACAAGAAGATGGACCAGCTGTATGTGTTTGATTGAACAATGTCCTGAACCGCCCATGCTGATCTTAATCAATCTGGTCAAGGCTAATGATCTTTCCTCTCTGAGCCATGCAGACCCCGAGCTTAATCCTCCTCTCTGTGGAAGAGAATAACTTTTTTTTCTGCAGAAGAACAGACAGAGATTGATGGTGCAGAGATACAGGATTATAGGTTTAAGTGGAGCCTGTAGTTTCGAGAGATTACTTTGGATCATCCAAACCAGATTATAATTTTTTTCCTATTTGGCAAGGCTATCTGGAACAACAGGGAAAATGTTTATTTGCTAAAGAACATGTTTGTGTGGGTGTGTGTGTGTGTAAGGATATTAAATGTTATTATTCACTGTAATAATGTTAGTCTGTTAGTAACCTAGTTTTTTTTTAGGTAAAATGCAACTGTCAGCCTGAAGTTTGTTGCACACAGCTTCACTTGCAATGTTGGTATTTATTTCACAGCAGTTAGGAAAAGGAAATCAGTCTTTTCCCCATAATCTACGAAATTTAGTTATTATTGCTTGTGCAGATTCTCAGTCCTTTGGGTCAAAGCAGCTACAACACACTTCAGCTGAAGGCAATCCGACCTTAGAGTTTAAATTCATTTGGAAAAAAAAAATTACATAACTAATCTCATCAGGATTCAGAAGACCAAATAAAGACCCCTCAACAAACAATCCACTCTAATAACCCAAGGGAGGGACAGGCAGGTTGTTCATTTGCATCCTACTTGGGATTATTCCAGGAGGATGGACATCCATATGTTTAGTGGCAGATTTAGAGGAAATTTGCCCGGGAGGACAGGGTGGAGCCCAAGATTTTTCTTTTTTTTTGTATTTAAAATAAATAAGATGATTTTCTAAAGGAATTAGTATTATTGCCCAAATAAAAGTAAGATAGGTTTAATTCAAGAAAAAAATTATTTACATTACTTAGATTTTCCAGTGTATGTTTTCAACGCAGGGGCCAGGACAAGTTCTAGGGAAACTGGCTTCTTTTGGCCCCTGTCTAGAACTCCCCATGCATTTGTTTGAAAACAGCAGCACCAGACTAGAGACTGACACGGGAGTGGATTTTCACTCCTGTCCCGTCCCACTCCCACAGAAAAAAAATTGTGTCCCGTCCCGATCCCGGGCCAGAGTAGAAATCTAAATCCTGTCCCGTCCCACTCCTGGTGAAATTACTCCCACTCCCATCCCGCTCCCATTCAGAATGACTCCCGCTCCCGTACCACTCCCATGCTCTGTTCGAAAACCTAGGACGCGTCCTTAGAAGGCCAGATTCGGAGTACGATTACGTCATAGTGCGGCGCTGAGGTCTGGTCGGATTCCAAGACTCCTCGTTATGCGGCCTTAAAATGCGTCCTTCTTTTAGCCCGATTTGAAGGACGGGTGTCGATGTATCCTCGGTATCTTTGGTTTACCCAGGATTCATTGCGAGACCAAGCAAGCCGTGATCAGAGGAAAGGTCACTTTCCAGCCCAGGATTTTTAAACAGAGCCCCATTCTTGTTGTTTTTGAGTGCGGGTGAAAAACTCAGAGCGGAATCACTGTTGGTTTTTGGGTAGTGTAGTTTTTTTTAATCGCATTATAGTGTAGGCTTCAAGGAAAAAAACAACAAAATGGCGGC